GAGTGTAAAAGCTCAGGGACAGTTCAAGCCCCAGGACTAGCACAAACAAAACAAAGAATTTTGATATTGTAGAAGGAATTCCTTCCTTCACTCTCTTTTCCCTTCCCTCCCTCTTCACTTCTCTCTCAAACACATATATAACCACACATACACTCCCCCCCCCTCTTTCTTTCAGTTAGTGCCTTACTACAGAGCTGACTCAAACTCGAGGTCCTACTGTCTCAGTTTCAGTTGCCCAGGTGCTGGGATTATAGGCATGAAATTTCTGGCACTTTATGTTTACTTGAGCATATTAGATGTTATATTGGCAAATCTATATATTTTGTCCCAATAATTGGATTACTTAATTCAGTTGATATCTGTTAAGTGATTTTGAATTGGAAGTCTTATTTTTGAAAAGCTGGATGTGCTCTACTAATTGAGCTATATTGCCCAATCCTTTTTGTTGTTGTTGTGGTTTTAGTTTATTTTTTGGAAGTACTTGTGTTTTTTAAATATATATATCTTATTGTAAAGATACTGTACAGAGGGGTTGCAGTTACACTAGCAAGGTAATGAGTCCATTTCCTATCGAGCATTGTTACCCTCTCATTTGTTTTTCTCCTACCATCCCTTTCCTCCTCACTTCCCCAATTCCCTCCTCCCCGCCAAAGTTGTAAAGTTTGTTTTCAACATAGTGTCTTGTACATCTCATTGTTACAATGGGTCAACCTGTATTCTTATTTCAGCATTTTGTTATTTCCCTTAGAAAAATGTATATACAAGATGCAGGACACCAGAATCAAATACAGTGACAAAAGGGGTTATACCATGGGAAAGAATATACAAAGAAACAAAAAAAAAATCACACAGTACATTATAAGTACATTAAAAAGAACAGCAAGAAAGATAAAAAGTACTTGTGTTTGAACTTGTAGCTTTCCACTTGCTAGGCAAGTATCTACCACTTCCTTATAATATGCAGTGTGTATAGTTAAAGATTTGTATGTATATTCCTTAATAATTTCTATAATAACTGACATAATATGACTCCCCCTCCCTCTCTGACTCCTGATTGCTTGGTTTATGATCACAGATGTGACAGATATGACTGCTATTCTTTCACTTTATAAAAGGTGGTCTTAGCTGAGCATGGAGGCACATATTCATAATCCCAGCAGTCTGGAGTGAGGCAGACAGAATGTTTAGTGCCAGTCTGGGTTACATGGTGAGAAAGAATCTTACTTTTTCATTGTATGTTTCTTATTAGTGTATATTTATTGTACAAAGTTTCATTATGGTATTTCTACAATACAAATAATGTATATTAATGAAATCCACCCTTTCTATTATTTTTCTTTTTTTTCTCTTTTAAACAGTTTTAATGGATTTCAGTTTTCTCTTTCATTCCACTGTATAAAGTACTTTAGTCACCCTTTTCAACTCTCTTCTTTTGCCCTCCCCTCTTCCACTGGTTCCCAGATCTAGACAGTTCCCATTTTACACTCATGTCACTTTTCTTACGGTCTAGATTCCACATAGGATAGAGACATGTTTTTTCTCTTTCTCAGTCTGTTTCACTTAATATGATGATTTCTGTTTCCATCCATTTTCCTACAGACAACACATTTCATTCTTCCATATGTCTTCATAATACTTCATGTATAGATAGTTATGTATAGATACCATTCATTAGTTGATAGTTACCTAGGCTGGTTTCATAGTGTGGCTGTGTAAAGAGTGCTGTTATAAACATGGGTGTAGACATTTATATTGTGTGCTGACCTGCATTCCTTTGGGTATATACCCAGAAATGTTATACTCTTACGCTTTTCCATCTTCATTGGCTGTTTATCCTATTTCTGTAATGAATATTTGAACACATACTGCATCAGACATTGTTTCAGGTATTAAATACATAATAGTTAATGAAATATCAAAAAGGAGCTTAAATTCTGTCTTACATTTGACTAAAATGTGAAGTGATCAAATGATGAGATGTGCTGTGGAGAATGGTAGGAGGGAATTTGGCAGCGCAGTTGCAAGGAAGCTGTACTTTGTTGTCCATGGAAACTGGAATTATTGACTGGAGGATGAAGAAACAGATTCAGGGCTGCTTATGGTGACTGACAAGGAATTTAGAACAGAAATTACACCTTAGGTTCTTAAGACAGAGATTATATCTATAAAATGTTGCCAGAGGTATACCAGGTTCTAGCCTAACCTCTTCACTTTTTGGAGGACAGGAAAGGGAGGATCTTACCCAGAACTTGTGGTGTTGTGGTATTCATCGACAGTTTATCTCCTTACCTCTGTCTCTGGTGGCTGGAGAAAAGAAGTTTTAGAGAGAGAGAGAGAAAGAGAGAGAGAGAGAGAGAGAGAGAGAGAGAGTGTGTGTGTGTGTGTGTGTGTGTGTGTGTGTGTGTGTGTGAAGTTTTAGTGGGGTGTGTGTGTGTGTGTTTGTTTTATAAACTTCATTCCTGCTGAGTGATTCAATTACTTTGAGTTGCCAAAACAAACAGTAAAGTATCTTATAAAGTGTATTTTCCTGTCGCCTCCTCAAAGAAAATAAGCAGAGCTTTGAGCCTGCCAAGTCTTTGTTCTATCTTGTAAATCCTAAGTATATTATTTCTGAGTTTGGAATATTATAGAAACTTTTTAGTGTTTCATTTCATAGCTTTAGACAATTTCCCTCGGCTTTCTGCTGTTATACTGTTAATCACATTGATTAGACATGAAAACATAACCTTAAAATACATTTTTTTTTTTTTTTACCTGGTTATGAGGTTTGAACTCTGGCCCTGGGCACTGTCTCTCAGCTCTTCAGCTCAGGGCCTGGGCACTGTCTCTCAGCTCTTCAGCTCAAGGATAGAGCTCTACCACTTGAGCCACAGCGCCAGCCATTTCTGGTTTTCTCCTCTTCCGGTTGAAGATAAGAGTCTCACGGACTTTCCTGCCCAGGCTGGCTTTGAACTGTGATCCTCAGTTCTCAGCCTTTTCAGTAGCTAGGATTACAGGTGTGAGCCACCAGTGCCTGGCTTGCAAAAATCTTCTCAAAACTTGAATGTTGTTTGAGGACTGAAGGTGGACCACCATGCCCAGATTATTGTTTGAGATGCAGCCTTGCTAACTTTTTACCTGAAATGGGCTTGATCCTCCCTATCTCACCTCCCAAGTAGCTGGTATTATAGCTGTGTACCACCATACTTGGCCATTTTCAAGTGTTTGGGGTTTTATTTGTGTTTTTTTTGGTGGTTGTGGGGCTTGAACTCTGGGGTTGGGCACTGTCCCTGCGCTCTGAGGCTCAAGGTGAGCATTCTACCACTTGAGCCAGTGCCACTTTGTGGGGTTTTTTTTTTTGATGCCATACTATATATTTACAATTTGGTTTTATAAAATGTAGATCTGTGGTATAATCTTTTTATATATATATATTTTTTTTTTTATTGTGAAAAATACTGAACAGAGGGGTTACAATTACATGGGCAAGATAGTGAGTACATTTCTTATCAAGCATTGTAGCCTCCTCCTTTGTTTACCCTTCCCATCCTCCCCCCCCCCCCCCCCCCCCCCCCCCCCCCCCCCCCCCCCGGTATAATCTTTAAACAGAGGAAATAATTTAAAAAGCATCAGGGACTGAGATTCTATGTTAGCTATGTCATTAACTAGTTAAATAACTTTACTTCTCTGTTTAACAGTATTGATTTTAAGTCTTCTTTCAACTCTAGTACTCAGCAATTCTGTAATGCCTACCATTAAGTGTTTTATTTAGGTCTTGTAAGGAAAAATAGCGTTTGTCATATGAAGTATAGTCAACAAATAAATATTCATTAAAAGTCCCAAGGCCATCTGGATGCTGATGGCTCACACCTGTAATCCTAGCTATTCAGGTTGAGATCTGAGGACTAAGGATTGTGGGTAGAAGCTAGCCCACATAAGAAGGTCTGTAAGACTCTTAGCTCTTAGCAAAAAGCCAGAAACAGAGCTATAGCTCAAGTGGTAGAGCACTAGACTTGAACACAAAAGTTCAAGGACAATGACCAGTGACCTGAGTTCAAGCCTTAAGACCAACTCTCTGTCTTTGTCTCTCTCTTTCTCTTTTCTTTCTCTTTCCTTCTCCCTCTCTCTCCTCCCCCCACTCCCCACCCCCACCCCAAGCATAAATCAGGACTTTTCAATTGGCAAGATTAAACACTATCAGAATCCTACTGATGTTTTGAGTCTAGCTCTATGGCTCTGTTCTTAATTGATTAACACTCCTAATAGTGTAATGTTGCTTTGTTTAGTTGAGTTTTTGGCAAGCAAATGGAAACATTGCCCACAAAGTGTACAGAAGCAGATTAAAAATGTGAAGATAAATTTGAGTTTAACTTTTTTAGTCAATAAATAATTGAATGCCTTTTCATAAATGACACATCTTTATACGTTTTCTTGGGATTTTTTTTGGCATGAAACTCATTTATTGGGTAATGTTCATTTTGAGTTTTATCCTAAGAACCCTGCTGTAGAGGAATTGAGTTTGTTACGGACTTCTGATTGCTTGCTATGTAAGCTATTTCTGGTTCTAGAACTACTGCTTTGAATTTATCTCTCTTTGTATTAGTGTGAACTTGCATTTGCTAAAATGATCAAAGTATTTTAAATTTAAGTATTGATGTTAGGAAGACCTTAGTTATTAGACTTTCACAGTAACCAAGTGCTTTCATTTTACTTATGTGCTCAGCTTTACACATGAAAGGAAAAAGCACAAAAGTTCATACCCCATAAACAAAGGTTATTCTGAAAGAAATGTGTAATTTATTTGAAGTCAAAATATCTTGACCCTGCCTAGTTAAAATTTCCTTAATATCAGAGTAAGAAGCCCAAGTTGTAGGTAATAGGAACGATTTTGTACTGTCCTGGGAAAATATATTGGCAGCATTAAAAAATATTTTTCCATATGGGCTTAGTAGGAATTTTGAGCATAAGTGAATATCCAGCAGACATTCTATCTGAGTATCTTTATGATTTTTGTTTTTCAGGCATTTAAAAATATTTAATCATTCATGAGTTGAACTTCATTCTTGAGTTATGGATGACAAGGCTTCTGTTGGAAAAATCAGTGTCTCCTCAGACTCAGTATCTACCCTTAATAGTGAAGATTTTGTCTTGGTTTCCAGGCAAGGAGATGAAACACCATCTACAAATAATGGAAGTGATGATGAGAAAACAGGACTCAAGGTAAAACTTCATAAATTTATTTTGTTTCCTCTTGTAAAGCCATTATAGACACAGCCTGAATAGAAAAGAGGAATGGCAGGGAAAATGAGCACATGTAATCAATGTAATGTTTGCATTATATATACTTAACAAGAAACTCACATTAAGGATTTTTATTTTTATTAGCATTTAAATTTTCCAATACTCCTATCAACACTAGAAGTAAGGATAAACATTTATAATTTTAATTTTGTTTTCACTTTTCTGTTGATTTAGAAGTACTTGTTTGTTTTGAACCTTGTGTGTGTGTGCCTGTGGGCACGTGCGTGTGTGCATGCGTATTCATGTATTTGTATTGGCAAAGTCCATAATGGTAGTTATGAAAAATAAAAGTTTAAGATTACCAAGATATAACCTTAAGTATCTACCTTTGATCATTTCTCAGTCAAATAAATAACTATAACTTTATTTTCCATACTCTGGTATTATTTATTATTCTTCTCTTTCTGGATATAAATTAAAAAACAGATTGTTAAAGCTATCATTTAAAAAATAAGTAATTAAAATATTTAAATTCCTGTTTACATCTGTTTATTCAACAAGAGTTTATTCTGGGGATACAATGGTGAACAGCCTCAGGCCAAACCTCCTGCCCTCCTAGAGCTTTCATTCAAATGGTAGAAATAGACTAATAAATAAGAAAATGAATATGTCAAGTAAGTTTAGATCTCAAGAAGAAGAGTAGGGAGAAAGATAAACAGACAAAAATAGCCAAAGAACCAGCACCACATAAGCAAAAAACAAAAACAAGCTGGAAGTGGCGCTGTGGCTCAAGTGGTAGAGTGCTAGCCTTGAGCTGAAGAGTTCAGGGACAGCTCCCAGGCCCAGAGTTCAGGCCCCACGACCGGACCCCCCCCAAAAAAAAATCCAAAGAAATGATGCCTGAAAACATCTCAAACTTAATGAAAAGTTACACTGGACACATTCAGAAAACTCAGTCAACTCCAGGTGGGATAAATGTAAAGAGCTCCACAGAGAAGCACATCTTAAAACTGTTAAAAGCCACCAGGGTGCTAGCGGCTCACATCTATAATCCTAGCTACTCAGGAGTCTGAGATCTGAGGATTGCAGTTTGAAGCTAACCCAGGCAAGAAAGTTCATGAGACTCTTATCTCCAATTAACCACCTAAAACAGGAATTGGAGCTATAGCTCAAAGTGGTACAGTGCTAACCTTGAGCAAAAAAACCCAGGGACAGAGCCCATGCCCTGAGTTCAAGCCCCATGACCGACCCAAGGGAAAACAACAACAACAACTTAAAAGCCAAAAACAAGGATAAAGTTTTGAGAGCATCTGGAGATAAATGACTCAATATTTATTTTTTATTGTGAAAATACTGTACAGAGGGGTTACAATTACATGGGCAAAATGACTCAATATTTTTGAGACACCCTCCCTTCCCACTTCTCCTATTCCTCCTCCTCCTCCTCTCCTCTTCTACCCCTCCTAAGATTTATGCCCAACATCTCAGTAGAAACACTAGAGACAAGATGCCAGTGGGATAAGCTATTTCAGAGAAAATCCTACCAACTGCCAGGGCTGGCCTCAGGAAGATACAACTTGAAGATCTTGTGAGTTAGTTCTAAACTATTTCAGGAAAGTATCATAGTATTCTGGTTTCATAGTACATATGAACTTATGTTTTGACTACACAGTTAAGTGTGCAATACTATTTTGTGTAAAAATAGAAAACACTATTCACACTTTAATTAAAAAGATACTTTAGGCTTGGTGCCAGTAGCTCATGTCTGTCTTACAGCTACTTAGGAGGCTGACTGATCAGGGTGGTGATTGCTGAAAGGAAAAATGAGTCAGTTTCTTACAATAAGGCAACAATGAATTTTGCTGCATCGATTGATTCTTCCTTTTGATGGAAAAAAATGTTTTATGTATCATGCAAACCTTTTTGAGAGCATTTTACCCACGTAAGAACTGCTTTCAGAATTGAAGTCAAGCCCTGCTTTTGCTTTATTAGCTAGCTTTATGTAATATTCAAAATCCTTTGTTGTCATTTCAGCAATATTCAGAGCATCTTAGATTACTTTCTCAGGTAGGTGTGGCAGCGCAAAACTGTAGTCCCAGTTACTAAGGAAGTGGATGGAGATTGGGAGGTTGACAATTTGAAGCCAAAAATTTGTGAGATCCCCATCTGAACCAATAACTGGATGTTTTAGTATATGCCTGACATCCCAGCAAGGCCAGAGCATAAGTAAGATGATAACATTCCAGGCCAGCCTGAGCTAAAATGTGAGACCCTATCTCAGAAGTAAAGCAGAAAAGGCGTAGCTCAAGTGGTACAACACTTGCCTAGCCAAGTGCAGGGTCCTGAGTTCAATCTCCAGTAATTAAGAGGAAAAAAGGATAAAAATCACTTTGTTTGCACATCCATGACAAGAACCTCCTCATCTATTAAGTTTTATCAGGAGATTGTAGTAATCAAATACTACTTCATTCTTTGTGGTAGGCTTTGGTATCTGGGTATATGGCTTCAAGGAGACCACCATTGAGGATACATTGAATTGTTCAGGATATATAGTTGAAACACAACAGGAGATAACAAGGGAGTGAGAGCTTCTCTGCATCAACTGAGCTGCATAACAGGCACAGAAATTTCTTTTGGCTGCATTTGGTCAAAATTGTATGTAATGAATATACAAATAAGCTGGGTTTACTGTATTTTTTTATTTTTTATTTTTTTTTGTCGGTCGTGGGGCCTGAACCTTGGGCCTGGGCACTGTCCCTCAGCTCCAGCTCAAGGCTAGTACTCTACCACTTGAGCCACAGCGCCACTTCCGGCTTACTGTATTTCGAATCCTAGTTTTCTTGCTAGTTCTGCATCGGCAGTTACTTCTTCTGCTAAAGTCTTAACCATTCAAATACATAGAATCAACTTCTCCCAAAATTCAATTTGATCTCCTCCTGTGAACAGAAAATGATCTTAATGGCATCTAGAATGTTTGTATCTTTTCAGGAGATTTTTAATTTATCCATATTCCTTAGAGAAATCACTGTCTCGGGCAGCTCTAGTCTTAAAAATGTCTTCCTGAGCCAGGCGCCAGTGACTCACACCTGTAATCCTAGCACCTCAGGAGGCTAAGATTTGAGGATCGTGGTTCAAATCCAGCCTGGGCAAGAAAATCTGTGAGACTCTTATCTCCAATTAAACATCAAAAAATCAGAGGTGGTGCTGTGGCTCCAGTTGTAGAGTGCTAGCTGTGAGCTGAAGAGCTCAGGGACAGTGGCCAGGCCCAGAGTTCAAGCCCCAGGACTAACAAAAATTAAAAAAAAAAAATGTCTGCCTGCCTGCCTGCCTGCCTTCCTTCCTTCCTTCCTTCCCTCCCTCCCTCCCTCCCTCCCTCCCTCCTTCCTTCCCTTCCTCCCTCCCTTCCTCCTTCCTTTTCTCCCTCTCTCCCTCCTTTCCTTCCTTCCTTCTTTCCCTCCTTCCATTTCTATTTTCAGTTTTCTTTCCGTCTTGCTTTCTTTCTTCCTTTTTTTTTTTTTTTGGTTGTGGGACGTGAACTCTGGGCCTGGCCATTGTCCCTGAGCTCTTCATCTCAAGGTGAGCACTCCACCACTTGAGCCACAGCGCCACTTCCAATTTTCTGGTGATTTATTGGAGATAAGTGTCTCACGCCCTTTCCAGCAGCTGGCTTTGAACCTTGATCTTCAGATCTCAGCCTCCTGAGTAGCTAGGATTACAGGCATGAGCTACTGGCACCCGGCTTTTTTTTTTTTTTTTAATGCTGGGCATGGGTGCTATCCATCAGCTTTTGTGCTCATGGTTAATGCTCTACCACTTAAACCACAGCTCCATTTCTGGCTTTTTGGTGGTCTGTTAGAGACAAAAGTCTCACCAACTTCCCTGCCTGTGCTGGCTTTGAACTGGGATCCTCAGATCTCAGCTACCTGATTATAGGCATGAGCCCTGGCACCTAACTATAAATGTATTTCTTAAAGAAAAACACTTGAAGAAAATTACTCCTGGATGCATAGATTGTTGAATGGATATTGAGTTAGCAGACATGAAAGCAACTTTAATCTTGTATTCTCTCCAGTAGAGCTCTTTCTTGGATGTGTTGTCAGTGAGCAGTAGTATTTTCAAAGGAGCCTTTTTTTTTCCTGAGCAATACATCTCAACAAAGAAACATTCAGTAAATATTATTGTCAACAGATGTGCTGTCATCTAAGCTTTGTTATATTTGTAGAACACAGGCAAAATAGATTGAATATAATAATAAGGGCTCTAGGGTTTTCATATTGTAATTGAACATTAAAATCATTAGTGGTACCAGCCTAGGAACTAGAGACATGGATCAAGTGGTAGAGTACCAGCTGTGAGCAGATAAAGCTGAATAAGAGCACACACACATCAAAAGAAGACAGTAACAACCACCCATGAATTTTAGCCATGCACTAGAGGCTATACATCGTCTTGTCTACTCAGAGGCTGAGATCTGAGAATCAAGGTTCAAGGCTATCTCCTATAACCTAGCAAAAAGCTGGAATTGAAGGTGTGGTTTATGTGGTAAAATGCCAACTGTGACAGAAAAAGCCAAGCTAGAGGTAATGGCCCTGAGGTTCAACCTGGGTACTGGTACCAGAAACATAGTTTAACTTTGCCTAACATTGGAGCTCAGCATTGGGTTTTGTTGTTGTTTTTCTCTAGCTGTGTATGTCCTCCATGGCATCTTCTTCCAACATGAGGTTGTCTCATGTCCATTGAAAATCTGTTGTTTGGTATAGCTACTTTTATCAGTTGTCCTAGCCATTCTTCTGGATAATTTCTCCAGCTTCTATATTAGTACCTGTTGCTTTACCTAGCCCTCTTATGTTATAGAGATGGCTTTTTCCCTCCTTAAATCTCTACTAGCTTTAAAGTTTTCTACTGTAGTTTCCTTACCTCTTTCAGCCTCCATAGAACTGAAGAGAAGACATTTCTCTGGATTGTCTTTTGGCTTGAGA